AGGTATAGGACATTATTAACAAAAAAGTATTAAAATACCAGAGCGATTCCAAAAATGTATTAATATACGGGGTGTTCCATTCAAAAAAATAAAGTTGCTAGGACTTTTTGATGGAAGTGGCAACGCCGCAATGCTGAAAATATTTTAGATCCATAGAACAGGTAAGGAAATGTGAGAGGTGAAATTTTCAGAAAAATCATGCTTTGCGTTTTCCAGAAACGTCTAACCTACCATCGACCGTGAGTCACGCTGTATACGTTAGAAAAATAAGGTGAATTTTCATTTTTTTTGAAAAATATTTATTCATTCATCTTGTCCCCTTCAAATTATTCCCTCTCAGATTTAATACACCCGTGCCAGCGTTTTTTCCAACCCTCGAAGCAGTTCTGATATGCGCTTTTTGGTATGTTCTTGAGCTCTCTCAGTGACTGTGTTTTTATCTCCTTAATAGTCGCTAAACGTAGTCCTTTCATGGGTCTCTTCTATCTTGGGAACAGGAAAAAGTTTCAGGGGGCCAAATCTGCTGAATACGGTGGCTGATGTATGATTACGGAGTTGTTTTTGGCCAAAAAATTACAAACAAGCAATGACGAGTGAGTAGGTGCATTATCGTGATGCAAAAGCCATGAATTGCTTTTCCACATTACCGGACGTTTGTTTCGTATTGCTTCTCGCAATCGGTGCATTTCTTCAAGATAAAACTCTTTATTGACCATACGTCAATGTGGCAAGAACTTCTGATGCTCTACGCCACGTTTTCGAAGAAAACATTGAGCAAAACCTCGACATTTGATCGAACTTGGCGTACTTTTTTGGTCTTGCTAGCCTGGAACCTTCTGTTGGGACGATTTCCAAAAAAAATTGGAGGAAATGAGCCAACCTATATGCCGACATTCTCAGTAACTTATCTAATAGTGATTCGACGATTTTCCCTATCAAATTTCATCAATTTCTCAATTTTTTTATCAGTTGTTGATGTGCTGGGTCGTCCAGAGCGACCCAGTACATCATTATTCACATCTTCCCGACCTTCTAAGAAAAGCTTGTACAACTTCTAAACATTTTTCTGACTCAGAGTACAATCACCGTATGCCACTGTCAACATTTCGAGTGTTTTTGAGCACTTAATTCCATTTTTACAAAAACTTTAATGCAACTTCCTTTTATGCCTCTCACCAACAAACAAAACATGCTAAATAGCTGAAACTGTGAACATATATTCAAGACGGGTGTACCAACATAAAAAATGTAAAATCACTGATCAAATGTACGTAGCCCGCGAAATTTTGTTAGATTTAAGATGATTCTCCAAGTCCCATGAAAGTTGGCGATTTGGAAAATCATTGAAGTGGGAATATCACTCATTAATTATTTTGCCCCGGAGAATATAAATGGGAAAATTTCCAACGAATGTATTAATAGTCTCTCAAATCAATTAATAATTATATTAGAAGATACTTGCCAAAGTCAAATACTGGTCATTATTCAAACACTTGTGGAGAAATAATCACTATAGAATATTTTCAACTACTTTTTTTGTGATCACTGAATGCACTGGTAGTAGACAACCCCTATTAGCCCTAGTACTAGAGTGCCACCAAGATTTAGCCAAAGCCTCGGTAGTGTTAGGAGCAACCGCTCTATATATCGATAGTCCAATTATGCGTAATGGAGATGATTCATGGAAGCAGCTGCTTATCGGGAGATATTCATTATTGAGTATACTAGAGTAGGATATATACGTTTGTTGTGGCGAAACTTTATTTGGGGAATGTATTAGTTGTTCAGAGTGAAGTGTTTTAATGTATTAGTGATACCTAACATCAGAAGTGAATGTAACTCACGTCAGCAACATGGGAAAATGAAGAAGACATTCTCCTAACAGTTCTTCGAGTTCATCCAGTTCTTCGAGTTCCATAAGTTCATCTAGCTCATCAAACACTGACAAAAGACAACGGAAACGTAAGATAAAAAGAATCAAGCATAATTCTAGCAGAGTAGGGGTGAGTCGTTTTCCAATTCCTTTGTCTAGTGACACAGTAATCAGTGCATCGAATGTTATACCAGAATTTAACCCGTTAATAGACAATGTAAACAGTTGGATTGATATTACTGATCATCATGCGAAGTTATTTGAATGGCCGGAATATCAAACTATTCAACAGACATTAAGTAAATTACGAGGCACTGCTAAAATTTGGTATGAAAGTTTAGTTGTGAATGATAGAAATTGGCCATCTTATAATTNAAATCTTCTCTACTTCTGCACAAACTGCAAAGAAAATTTCAAGAAAGTACCAAAAATCATTGAAAAATTAAATGAAGTATTGGAAATCAACAAAAAGTTGGTAGAAGAGAATAACAAGTTGCAAGAAATGGTTGTAAAAGCTAATGAAAAGAATATGGCCGAAAATCTCAATCTTATTGTCCAAGAGATGCATGAGAGACAATCAAGGGCATCCAATATTACTGTATGTAATATCCAAGAATCGAATCTGAATAATCAGCGTGACAGGGCCAAAAAGATATAAAAAATATCAATGAAATTCTTGGTGACCTTTCTTATGAAGTAACCATCAGAAAGATTTTCAGACTTGGTAAATTTTACGAAGACAGAAACAGACCTATCAAAGTAGTTCTGTCGAACAGTGATGAAGCCCTTTATGTTTTATGGAACAAGAACAAAATTCC